TTTTCTCACCCCAGAAGGGATTTGAGTTTGTGTCAGTGAGAAGCCATCGATTTTATTCTAAAAATTCCCACACTGAATTTGTCCTATTTCAGCAGCCCTGCAAAACATAAAGTCAGTACTAAACCAAACCCAGAGCCCTTCCTAAAAAACAGACCTGGAAAGATCCACCTCAGAACTTCTCCTGAATGGAGAAACCTGAATGGCCCTTATCTTGTTTCACAGGATTAGATGTGAAATGCCCAGTGTTGACTTGAAAGTGATTAAAACTGAACTGACAAGGCGAAATTAAAACTGAAATGTGTGCAAAAGAGATGGTCTGATGTTCCACAGGATTTAAGGGATAAACTAAGAAATTGAGGTTGAGTTAGCCGAACACTCCTGGAAAAGAAATCATCTTACTGATGTGGGCTGCAGTCTTCCCATTTTAATGACAGTGAAGGGTCTGAATTAGGCTGGAAAAGGTGCTCAGGTCTAAGGGATCATGGCAACACTGAAAACTCCAGCTTTGAAAGGCTCTTGCTTTGTTAACTTTTTATTTAATTACACCCACAACTTAGGAGAGAGTCAGACCTGAGGAAGGATCAAGATGGCCAGGTAAGAAGGGCCTGGTTTTCTCAGCCATTTCTGACACAAGAAATTGAAATTCACCATCAGGAGCACAATCCCATCTCCAGGGGGTATTTGAACCCTCCTGGGAGCTGGGGGCTGCTGGGGCTGCCCAGCCAGGCTGGCACCAACGCAGCAGGCTGATCACCACCCCCAGGCCACGAGAACAGCACTCTGTGCTCCATCAGGAGCTCCACGGGGCAGAACTTGGACTTTTCCCAAGGCCAGGAAGTTCAGCAGTGCAGAGACGTGACCTGTAGGCAGCAAACACGGGAAAAAATTCCAGCCAGTACCTAGGGTTGCTCAACAGCATGAAATCCAGCTCCAGGCAGCTCCAGCCTTTGGGGTGGGCACCGCTCCTCTGCTGCCACTTGAGTCACAAACAGCAACCTCCAGGGAAGCACCCGGATGCGTATTCCACATGGAAGTCAGCTTTTGAGGGGCACTGAAACCTGGGAGAACATTGGCAGAGGGAACTGATATTCTTCAGTGCAGCTCTGTGCTCTTGAGGCATTTTAAAATAAGGCTGTGGTTCCATGAGGAGTCATAAACCCAACAGGATATAAATAAATCCATGGAGGTTGCTCTAGGATGATAGGAACCCAACTAGAATTCCTTCTCTGGGTCCCTGGAAGTGCCCAAGGCCAGGCTGGAAGGGGCTTGGAGAAATCTGGGATAGTGGAAGGTGTCCCTGCCATGGCAGGGGTGGGACTGGATGAGCTTTAACCAACCCAAATCCTTCTATGATGGTTCTTGCCCCCAGTTGTCAAACCCCTCCCCGCTCCAAAAAAAAACCTAAACCCAGAAGAACCTTGATGGATTTTTAAAGGGATCCAAAAAGGTCAGCTGGAGGCCTCTTCTCCCAATGCAATGTTTTGGGCAACAATTAAATGGGTTTTTTTTTATGAACATTATCTCTAAACCAAAATTATTGTAAGAGAAAACTTTAAATGTATGGGACATGAGCTGAAAAAAGGGATTTTCCTCTCTGTTGATCACTCTGGCTGATTTTGGTTTCAAAATAAAACCAGGGAATTGCTGAATGGGTTTTTCCAGGAACCCATCCCACTTCTCCATGCCAGCGTCTGCTCTTACCAGGGTGGGATCCCTGCATCCCCTGACAGCTTCCAGTGACGTGAACTGGTGCTGTCCCCAGCTCCTGACTTCCTGGGACAGCAGAAAATCCTACAGCAGGGGTTAAAATACAGCGATAATTTGGGTATGAGTTTTTTGTATTTGGCATTCCTGCTGCTTCCTGGAGGCTCAGACAGGCCAGCTCCTGCCTGTGAGCACCACCGGCTTTCTGATGGAATTCATGTTGGCTCAGGATCCAGCTCTGGAATGGCATTACCTGGGAGGAGAGGAGATCACTGGCATGGAGACAGGTTTCATGGTGTCCTAAGTTCCCATCTGCCTCACCAAGGAGGAGCTGGAAGATAACACACGAGGGAACAAAATGCTTTAATACCACCCAAAATAGTTCCTGGGAGTTAGGTGTCCTTCCTGCTGTTCTGTCTCACCTGTGGAATTTTTACCCATTAGTGGCAGACAGTGCCTTGCCTTGACAGGGGAGAATCATCTTGTATGAATAAACCTCCTCTAAAATCCCCATAAATGCTCTGGGACAATGCTGGGGTTGAGCAGGAGCGTTGCCCAGGAATGGAGATGTTGGTCCCACCAAGCCTGAGGTTGGGCTCAGCCAGGATCATTAAAATCAGGTTGGAAAAGACCTCCAGGATCATCCAGTCCGAGCTGTGCCTGATCCCCACCTTGTCCCCAGCCCAGAGCACTGAGTGCCACGTCCAGCCCTTCCCTGGACACCTCCAGGCATGGGGACTCCACCACATCCCTTCCGAGGACTGACCACCCCTTCCAGGAAGGAATTCTTCCTGAGCAAAAGCCAAAACCCTGACAGGTTTAAAACTGAAAAGCTGATTTCTGCAGGAAGGATCTGTGGTTTAAGCTGAAAACTCGAAGTCCACGAGCTCAAGTGGTCCCTGTGGATGGGAGTGGAATAAAGTCCTGGCAGGAAAGAGCTCCAAGCTTTTCCCTCACCTCTCCAAGAGCGTGGCCGGGGTTGTGGTGTGCAAGGAGCAGGACTCCAAATAGGGGCAAGCTCTGGGCTGGCTGCTGTCGGGGCCATCACTCCTCCCTGCCCAGGCTGGGCCACAGCCAGCAGGAGCTGCATTCCTGGGATGGTCATTTATGGGCAGGCAGCGCTGCTGGCACGGCCCCAAAGCCGCCAGCGGGAGAGGCTGGGACGGAAAAGCTCCGAGATAGGGAAGGATCAGCTCATCCTTGGGGAGGATGGGCAGCTTGGGGCCACCCCACACCTGCAGGGACCTGCTCACAAACCATGGGGACACCCCAAACCACCAGGGACCTCCTCACACAGCTTGGGGTGCCAGCTGGGACCTCCTCACACGCTTTGGGGCCACCCCAAACTGTCAAGGACCTGCTCCAGCACCTTGGGGCCACCCCAAACCACCAGGGACCTCCTCACACACCTTGGGGTGCCCTGAATATGGAGGGAGATTCTCACAGACCTTGGGGCCACCCCAAACCACCAGGGACCTCCTCACACACCTTGGGGCCACCCCAAACTTTGAAACCATCCCCATTCAATGGAGAGATGCTAAAATAAATGAAATTAAAATCATTATGGTTTGGATTTGTTGTTCTTTGTGTGAATCTAGTTGTTCAGAAATAGAAAGGTGAGGTCTGAGACGTCCAGGATTGTTCAGCTTCTTCCCAAATTGGGAAGCTGGCATTTTCAAGGGCCACGTGGACTGGCAGTAAAGCTACAAACCCTCCCTATAAATTAATGGAAAATAGAGAATTAAAATAAGATCGATACTGTATAGAAATACTTCTATTTGTGGCACTCGGGATTAATAAAAACAAAAATAGAGAAAGGGAGCCAATCTTTTAATGTGTCCTTTGACGCTTTTCCCTTCTGTTAATGCCATAAAAATCCATACCTTGGGATGGAAATAACCTTAAAAATCATGAAATTATTTACTGGTTGATGGTGGCAGTGGTGTATTTTAAACACAATTCCATAAGCCCCATAAATATTAAGCCAGGCACAATAAAATCAAATATTTCAATTTTTTCATTTTATTGCTTTATCACACACATTTTCATCACCCAAAGACAAGAGTGGTTTGAGAAGCTGTCCTGCCCCAGGAAATGGACCCGAGGGATCACCTCATCCCAACCCCTGCCATGGGGGCAGGCACACTTCCCACCAGGAAAACCCCTGATTCCTCTCGAGACCAGCATCTTCAACCAATGATGCGTTTCAGAGGAGGCTTTAGTTTAAAATTATAAGCAAAGAAGGACCAACACTTCCCTGGGGATCTGATGGCAGCCCTGGATCACCTTCTCAAGGCTTGAAGGAGCCAGCTTCCAAGAACTGCATTAATAATTAAATAAACCCTCCCCCAACTCCAGACACTTCCAGAATGAACTTTCCCAGTGCCCAAAACCAGAGTTTGGAGATTTCCTAGCCAGTAACCACCCCCCAGCCCCTGCCTTCCATGAATTCCCCTCCTCCCCAAGTGATTCCAGCCAGGAGATTTATTTGTGTTGTCCAACCTGGAGAGTGCTGGGTTTGTTCTGAGCTGGACACTCCGGCTCCTCCTTGCATTGGGAAGAACAAAAATAACTCTCAGGCACGTCCTGAGCATTGTTTACAGCCTTCCAGACCTCTCCAGCCCTCTCTTTGGCACCTGGGAGCTGCCAAATTTTCTTGGGAACACGCTCCCACCTCCTCACCCCGTGTTTTCCCCAGCTCTGTGCTTCTGGAGTTGCCTACTGGCATTTGGATTGGATTGGATGCTCCTAGAGGTTTTTCCAGCCTTAATGATTCCATGATTACTTTTTTCCCCAGATTTACCCATCTACCCTGACTCTGCGTCACCTACGGATTTCATATTAACAAGTAAAATAAAAGGTGATTAAAAAGCTGCAAAGCCCAAATGCTGTAGGGTACAATCATTCCCTCCTTCCACCACAGCAACAGCCCTTCGTTCCCATGGCTTGCTTCCAATTACGTAAAAAAAAATTAATAAAAATAAATAAAAAAAAATAAAATAAATAAAAACAGGAGGAAACTTTTGGTGTTTTGCAGCAGCTTCACCCCTTGCGGGATCCTAAAACCCCTTCTGGACCTGCACTTCCTCACGACAAACCCACGGGGACTCTTCGCCCACCCCACATTATCCATCCATTCCCTGCTTCCCTTTCCTCATCCCACACCTGGGATTTGGGGAGGAAAACCCTACGGGAGTTTAACGCGCCCTTGCAGCCAAGCCTTTCATCAGGCCGTGCCCATTTAAATGCTGATGGATTAATTCTCCCTAAAATCACCTGCTAATGGGTCCCCTCCCTCCGCCGGGGCTGGATTAGAAGCTCTGCCCAGAAATGCCCTCCTTAAGCATCCCGGTTATCCTCGCCCCCTCTTAAGGTGTTAATTAGGGACACAAGTCGGGCACCGAGGGAGGGGAAACAAACCAAGAAAAGGGGAATAAACATCCCTTTGGATTAGCGGGGATGCGTTTGAAGGAGCGCAGGGCATGGGGAACCCACACCTTCCACCTGGACCACCTGGATTTTGCTCTTCCCCTCCCGAGGGAGATCAAGGTTTGCCCGCAGCTGAAAGGCTCGGGACAAAGAGCAGCTCCAGCAGCTCCAGCAGGTGGGTGAACTCCCCCCTCCAGAAAAAATAAACGAGAAAACAAACCCCAAAACCACCCCAGAGCTTTCCGTGTTGCCTTACAGCCACAAAGGTTTTCACCTGCTCCCTCTGTTTCATCTTCCCGAGCCGAAAGGGGAGGGATTCTGCTCCGTGTCAGGAGAGGTGAGGATTAAAAAAAAAAACAAAAAACAGGGATTTTTCCCTTTTAATGCCCGTGGGCAGATTTAAGGGGTTTTATGACCCTTTCTTGCGCTGTGTGAGGTTTTATTCCGCACGCCAGCGTTTTTAGGGGCGCCTAGTTTTAAACGCGGTGTGAAGATGGATGGAGGAGAGGGAGGGTGTGAGCTATTTAAACAACTATTAAAAAAATAAAAGGGGTGTTTCTGTGCAACAGCTTGGGATGGAAGTGGTTTCTGAAAGAACTTAGGAAGAAAATGAGAAGAAAATAGGATTTGCTTCCCTGAAATCTCTCTGGCAAAAACTGTGCTGTATCCCATCCTTCCCTCCTTGGAAGTTGAATTCCTTTATGCCACGACTGTCCCCGAGTGCAGAAGAGAGGCTTTCCAATGATCCACCTCCTGGGAATCTGCATCCACAGCACAGGAAAATCATTTCTGGAAAACCATGGAGGGATTCAATGGGTTTTGGATGGTTTTTTCCCTTCAAACCTTCTGTGTTTATCCAGACACTGGAATCCTGGGGGGTCTGGGATGCTGGGTTGGTATTTTTAGTTGAGAGGTGCAGAGGAAGAGTCCAGAAAGGGCTGAAAGACCCCAGAGCCCCTTCTAGTGCCTAAAGGGAGAGATGGAAAGGGACTTTGGAGAGCACAGGTGGGAATGGCTTCAAACTGACAGCTGGCAGGGATGGATGGGATATTGGGCAGGAATTGTTCCCTGGCAGGGTGGGCAGGCCCTGGCACAGGGTGCCCAGAGCAGCTGTGGCTGCCCCTGGATCCCTGGAAGTGCCCAAGGCCAGGCTGGACTTTGGGGCTTGGAGCAGCCTGGGACAGTGGCAGGTGTCCCTTTCCAGCAGAAGCTGTTATGGGATGATGCTTTACAGATTTCTGTGATTATAAATACCAGCATTGAACTTCACAGAGCCTCGATGAAGCTCTTCCAGCCCTAAAAACGGGAGCAGCAAGCACACTGGAGATGCCAAAGCTCTTCAGTCGCCAAAACCTGCTTTCATTTATTGACTCTCCTCTTGCTTAGGATAAAGGCTGTTTTCCTGACTTTTTGGAGGGAAAAAATTCCCTTAAAGTGGAGGAGAATAGTGGGGAAGTGCATCCTGAGATGCCTTTCCCAGCAGGGGCCACTGCTTTGTGTGTCAGGAGCTGCAGGCTGGGCTTTCTCCCTGTCTTCTCTCTGGATCAGAGCAGGAGATCCAGACTGGACGCACCAACCAGTCCAGACTTAGAGGCTCCACACATTCCATTTTTTCCCCAAGCTTTATATTTTCTACTTCCCACAAACCTTTTTGTTGTTGTTGTTGTTGTTGGTTTGGTTTGGGGCTTGCAAGGAACTAATTCAGGCATTTCTGATAAGGAGAATCTGTCAGTGTGGGGAAGGATCCAGCAGGGACCAGGGTGATGCTTATTCCTCGAGGAATGCCACTGCCTCCCACCCACCTTCCAGTGCCTGTCCCCTGGGAAAGGGGGACACAAGCAGCCTTTGCTCCTGCCTCCCTCTCACCACATGGGACTGTTCATCCCCATCCCTGAGCTGCTAGAGGAGTATTTTGACTTCCCAGGATGATGCACACCTAAAATGGGTTCAGGCTTTGGGGACAGAACAACACTCAGGGCCAAGGGAAGACTGAAAATCCCTCCCTTCAAGAACAGCTTTTGTTCAATCTTAACAGACACAACAGGGTTATATTCTCATGATTTTTCTCCTAAGGGATGTTACTAAATCAAATTTATTGGATTTACTAAATCCAGATCCTTGGATTTACCTAAGGGTCAAACCCTGAAAGTCCAAAAGGGCCAGAAATGGGAAGAGATCCTGAGGATGTGGTAAGGGGGGAGAGGAGGCAATAAAACCCATCAAAACCATTTTTTTGTGGAATCTATCCACGAAATCAATTATTCTGGAGATGTCTGTGGTAGCATCCATCCTTCTGGGCATAGACCACGGGACACAGATGCAACCAGTGCTGACCTGAGCTCCTCTTGCCTCAGAACGGCTGCTAAAAATTAGAAATTTAAAAAGTGGCTGCTCTTTTAGCCTCCTCTAGGCTGGGAAAGTGACTGATGTCAAGGCACAAGCGTTTTTGGTTAATGCAAGGCCAGGTGTAGAGACGTCCAACCCAACAAAAGAGTGTTGAGGACAAAGATCTACCAAAGAGGATGATAAATAGTATTTAATGCCCCACGAGGGTATTTTTCCCTGCCTGCAGAGGCGTTGAAGCTGTCTCACTCTCTGGAGAAAAAAGCCCTGACCCTAATGACAACGATTTCAATGTCCTAGGGGTAAAATATGACATTGGTCATGACAGATCTGACAGTCCTGGTGCTTTTCTTAGCCAGGTCCCTTCATTGGCCCAGTGCCACTGACTCTCAATGGGCATAACATAGCTACGATAATTAAACATTTATTTTATTATTTATCTTGTGAAATTTTTATCTTTTTTTTTTTAAATTACGTTTTTTAAAATTACTTTAAACTATTGTTTTTTGGGTGGGTTTTTTTTGTTTTTTGGTTTTTTTTTAATTAATTTTCACGGCCTTGAATGATGATTCAAGCAATAAACTCCAGCCTCTGAGTCAGGAACTCTTTCAGGGGTTGCTTCAACACCCAGTTCGTGCTGTGACTCCAGTAAAAGCTGCTCCAGAGAGACTTAAAGGCTGGGTTTAGGTGGTTTAAGGCCCATCAGTGTTTTACCCTCCGGTCTGGGACAATTTGGGCTGTTCTCAGTCAGTTCCAGAGCTGGCAGGAAGCTGGGAATGATCCTTCGAGCCTCTCCCTGGGGCTGTTCTCCCTCCATCTCACTCTCTGTACCTGGGGCCTTGGTTGAGCACTGCCAGGCTCCTGCAGAGCTGCGGTGGGACTGGGTATTCCACAGTGCCGTGTTCTCCAGGGAACTGAATGCCCTAAAGAGGCGGCACCCACCCCAAAGGCACCAAACACCCGCGGGCAGCACTCAAGGGATGCTCCCCTAGGCGAGTTCCCCAGGGATGTGCTGGGCTTGGCTTGGGATGCAAAGCACTTTGGGGACGTAGGGGGAAGGTTCCACCGTGACCTTGGCACCCCAAACCCCTTCCCCAGGCTGCAGGAGCCCAGCACCCCGCACTCCCCACACCTGAAACGGGGGCAGCTCAAGGGCTGGGGAAAAACGTGTGCTCGCAGCTTTCCCTCCCTCCCTCCAAGCCGTCCCAAAAGGCTGGAGAGCCGCAGGAAAAAGCCGCAAAGTGAAGGGAGAGATAAATCTTTATTGTGCACGGAGCAAGGGGTGAGGTGGGCAGCACCCGGGGCTGATCCAGCACAGCCCCTCCAGTGATGCCCCGCTCCCTCCTGCCCCCTAAACCCGGGTTCTCCAGCCAGGGCCCTCCCTGAGTCCTCGCTTTGGTGGCCAGAGGGCATCGGTGGCGACCACGCAATTCCCAATAAGCAGTCCCAACCCAAGAGCCTTTCCCAGGGGATGCGAGCCCCCAGCCCCCGTCCCCCTCCTCCCTCCCGCAGGGCAGGGGCGTGGAGGCAGGCAGGGTGAATCGGAAGAGTTTATTCGCTCGCACGCAGACGGTGGCATCCCTTACAAAGCCAGTGTGTACAAAGCCACAGTCTCGGCCCAGAAACACAGAACAGCTCCCGGAAAGTCACTGAGAGAGCCGGCGTTATGTCCAGCTGAGTGCCAGCTCCAGTATCCACAACACAGTAACGTACTGCAAGAGCTCGCTTACGAGCAGTTCCCTTGAGAAACAGCCTTCGCTCCGGCGGGGCCGGAGTCTGTCCGGTCCGTGTGTCCGGTCCGTGTGTCGGTCCGGTCCGTGTGTCCTGTCCGGCCCGGTCCGTGTGTCCGGCCCGGTCCGGTCCGTGTGTCGGTCCGGTCCGTGT